CTACCCTAGACTCTCCTATCAGTCATGAACTAAACCTCAATAGAAATACTGTGATTAAGATATGTATCTTTAGGGGAAGCAGTATGACAGTTTGGTTTTACACAGTCTGGGAGTTTGATTGAATCTTGCTTCTATATTCACTGGCTGTATCAATCTGGGGATGCCATACAAAAGTTTTCTTCATTTCTTCCTATGAGAACTTCACCTATAAGATTTTTAGAAGGATCGAATCAGATTATGTCCATTTAGTGCTTAGTGAAATTTTTCATGAATACAAGGCATTGTTATAGTTTCTTCATAAATATATCTCAAAAATGCAGCAGTTGCCAGGATAGATAGGATTTCTTACAGCATTATTACATTTTCATTCCTGTAATCTGATTAATAAACATTTCATTGTGCCTCTGGGTGTAATGAGATATCAGAATCAACTGTAAAATATGATGAAATAAACAAATTGTCTTTCCTGATGGAGTTGATGTCTTTCATTATGAAACTCACATTTCAGCAAGAGTATTCTGTTTATGACCTAATTCATCCGCTAGCCAAAATTGTCTTAATATGCTTTCCCTTCATTCATTCAAAGACAGCAGCTTTTCTTTGGTGGCAAACACATAATTGAAGTAATACAACTAAAAATGAATATTTTATGATAAATGGGAAAGTTATCAGTAATCAAAGGCTTTCCAAATGAAAGACAAAGAACATTTTAGGGTGAAGCATAGATAAATGTGCTTAAAATGTTTAAAAAAAGATCTTTGCCTTGATTTTCAGAACTGTGGATAGCTCCTTGAATTCTTACTATGGGCCTACTTCTGAGAGCTCATGGTCCTTTGCCTTTGTCAAGCTCCTCCACACTTTCTTTTATTCCATCTCTTCAACAAAAACTCCACCTTTTCAATTCATAGACTTTGTAGTTGACTCCGTATTCACTCCTTGAAACATCCCTTAGGCATCTGTCTCAATGAGCTAGATTCAGACTAGGCACGATAAAAACAAAAATTAATAAATTATGGATCCATTCTTTAAGAAACTTACTGACTAGCAAGGGACTCAGACATATAAATAAATTAGTATAATTTTATACTTGGAATATAAAAAAAAATAGTGCACCATTTGTTCCATACTAACTTAGTAATAAAAAGTTGGATTGTAGTAGCAAACTTCTCTGTTATATCTCAACTGCTTCAAGTAACAACAGCTAATTCTCTCTCTCTCTCTCTCTCTCTTTTTTTGACAGGCAGAGTGGACAGTGAGAGAGAGAGAGAAAGGTCTTCCTTTTGCCGTTGGCTCACCCTCCAATGGCCGCTGCGGCCAGTGCATTGCACTGATCCGAAGCCAGGAGCCAGGTGCTTCTCCTGGTCTCCCATGCGGGTGCAGGGCCCAGGGACTTGGGCCATCCTCCACTGCACTCCTGGGCCATAGCAGAGAGCTGTCCTGGAAGAGGGGCAACTGGGACAGAATCCGGTGCCCCGACTGGGACTAGAACCCGGTGTGCTGGCGCCACAGGTGGTGGATTAACCTATTGAGCCGCGGTGCCGGCCACTAATTCTCTCTCAATAGTATTTTTTCAGGTTGTTGCAAGTCTTTCTTCTAGGATGAAGATAAAATTGGTCTCATGTTGGAGGGAAAAGAGCTTGTCATAAATCTTGCCATACATCTTGAGTTTCCACTAAGAGCTATCACACAGCACTTCCTCTCATGTGTCCCTGGCCAAAAGAAATAAATGCCTTGAGTTGGTAGAGGAGAAAGATGGTCTTCCCTTCCAGAAGGAGCTAGCAGAGAGGGGACAGGCAAAATAGAACATAAGAAGGTTCAGTAAATATGAGGAATAGCAACACACACAATATATCCCTGCTGCCAGGAGCAGAAACAAAGCTTAAAATAAGCAAGTGTTTTATTTTCATTTAGAAAATCACTTTTATTTTACTAGGTGGAAAAGCCCTATTAGCAGGACCAAATCACAACAAGCCTTTTCAAGAAATTTCTAGTTTTATCCTGAGGGTCATAGCCATAATATTTTTAAGAATAATTTTAGTATTAAAATGAGCATCTGAGTTACTTTATTAATCCTGTTACCTTTGTAATATCACATTTCAAAAAATCATAACACTTTGCATTGGTTAAGTTATACTGAATTATGCATAAATTTATCCTGTTACATGAAGGGCATTTCAACTTTTTCTGTTACTAAGTTTAACTTTGAAAGAATTTCATCTGATTTCTGGAGTTTTATTTTGCTTAATTAAGTTGACTCACATTTCTCTTCACAGTTAAAAATAAGAATATTTTATTTACACTTAAAGACAGAGCATGCTACACAAAAACATAATACGTAAAACTATATGCAGGAGCTGGTTCTGTGGTGTAGTAGGTGAAGCCACCACCTGCAGTGCCAGCATTCCATATGGGTGCCAGTTTGAGTCCCAACTGCTCTACTTCTGATCCAGCTCTTTGCTATGGCCTGGGAAAGCAGTAGCAGATGTCCCAAGTCCTTGGGTCCCTGCACCGGCGTGGGAGACCCAGAGGAGGCTCCTGGCTTAGGATTGGTCTAGCTCTGGCTGTTGTAGCCATTTGGGGAGTGAACCAGGATGGAAGTCTGCCTCTCTTTCTCTCTCTCTCTCTCTCTCCCCTCTCCCCTTTTTCCTTTCTTCCTTTCTTCCTTTCCTTCTTTTCATTTCTCATCTTCTTTCTTCCATCCAATTTTTTTTCATTTAATCACTCAAATTCACACATCACAGGCATGTCAGCCACCTGCCTCTACCCTAGACTCTCCTATCAGCCATGAACTAAACTTCAAAGTGGAAGCTCTCTCCTCCCTTTGGAGAAAGGTACCTCTTTGATGGCCCCATTCTTTCCACTGGGATCTCACTCGCAGAGATCTTTCATTTAGGTGTTTCTTTTTTTTTTTTTTTTTGCCAGAGTGTCTTGGCTTTCCATGCCTCAAATACTCTCATGGGTTCTTCGGCCAGATCCAAATGCCTTAAGGGCTGATTCTGAGGCCAGAGTGCGGTTAAGGACATCCATTCTGAGTCTGCTGTGTATCCCACTTCCCATGTTTTTTTTTTGATTGTTCTCTCCCTTTTTTATTCTATCAGTTAGTATTAGCAGACTCTAGACTTGTTTGTGTGATCCCTTTGACTCTTAGACCTATCAGTGTGATCAATTGTGAACTGAAATTGATCACTTGGACTAGTGAGATTGCATTGGTACATGCCACCTTGATGGGATTGAATTGGAATCCCCTGGCACATTTCTAACTCCACCATTTGGGGCAAGTCCGATTGAGCATGTCCCCAATTGTACATCTCCTCCCTCTATTATTCCCACTCTTATATTTAACAGGGATGACTTTTCAGTTAAATTTAAACACCTAAGAATAATTGTGTGTTAATTACAGAGTTCAACCAATAGTACTAGAACAAAAAAAATACTAAAAGGGATAAATTTTATGAATATACCATAAGTCTAACAGAATATATGTATTCTAAAATATATTAATGTGAGAAGAGGTAAGATGAATGATGTAAATATTTAGTTATGTTATAATTTCATATTATTCAAATATTTAGTTTTACTAAAGTGAATATTTGTAATTTTTCATTGAGTAAAGGTGATTGTTTGCTTCATAATTTTTGGCTTACCAATTTATGATACATAAATTTAATGCTCTTTGCTAAAGTTCAATTTACTTTTTATTAATATTTGTTTTAATGGCCATGATAAGTTCAGAGAAATATTTTTCAAAACCCATAAAGAAATAAAGAGCAAGAATTTGGGGTAGCAGTGAAAACACTGCTTGTAATACTCATATCCCATATTGAAACCTAAATTGCTTGGGTTTGATTCCTCATTCTGGTCTGGATTCCAGCTTGCTGTTAATGCACACTGAGAGAAAGCAGGTGATGGCTGAGTCCCTGCCACACATATTGGAGATTCTGATAGAGTATCTGGCTCCTGCCTTCAGCCTGGCCCAACACTGGTTGTTTTGGGTATTTTAGGAGTGAACCACTGTGTGTGAGATTCTCTCTCTCTCTCTCTCTCTTTCTCTACTTCCCATCATCCCTCCCACCTGCTTTTCAAGTAAATAAATTATATTTTTAAAAAACAAAACAAAAAAATTGTATTTTTAAAAACAAAACAAATAAAGCATCACTGACTGCAGTTACCAAACTCTTAGAAGTTTCATTCTTCCAATTATATATAGGTTTTTTTGAAATACAGATAGTAAATTTTCATTTTCCCCTACTTTGGGCAGTTCTTACCGAATTGTGATATTGAATTTTATATTCTTGCTAAATAAGCTAAAAACAGCTGAAAATGTTCATTTAAAAGTGTTTTAATTATTAAATGTCATTTCCATATTTTAAGACTGTCAGATATAAGTGGTGTACATATTTTGGCAACAAAATTATATACTGATGGAAAAATTTCCAGACGTCTCTTTTTACACTGCCCTCTCCACAGGAAAACTTCCCTTGAAAACCAATTACTTTCTCTCCTTAATATGAAAATGCCACCTTTTTATTGAAATGACAGATTAAGTGTCTTTATTCTCATTGAATGTATCTGCTTAGTAACAAACCACTGACTTATCAAGGAAAAGGTCACAAAGTTAAATTCTTTCATTATCTATTTAAAAAAGAAAATGAATGACTCTTCTTTAAATCCATTTTCATTACGGTACAAATTATTGTCAAATGTACTATTTAATTATTTCCAAAAAATATTTAACCATCCTAGGTACATCTATAGCATATTAATTGCAGTGTCTTGAAATGTTCTGTTCATACAAGAGTAATGAGTCTACCATTACTTAGCCATTAAAAATTATATAACCTTCCTTCAGGAATACATCTATATTTCAATTGACAAATTACTGCCAGATATTTATGGGCCTGCTAAAGGTGGCAGTTTTATTCCATCTATTAAACAATTGTAAGCTTTAAAATTTATTTTTATTTATTATTTGTTTATCTTAAATGCAGAGAGTCGGAGTGATGGAGAAAGAGTGCTACTCTGCACTGTTCACTCTACAGAGGATTGCAGTATCTGGGGCTTGCTCAGAGCTGAGGTCAGGAGCAGGGGACACATTGGTAACAGGAATCCAATTACTTGAGCCATCACCTGCTGCCACCTTGGCATTCTGCCAGCAAGAATACCACCCTCAAAATTTAACTCAATGAACCCTACCCTATGTTGGATTAGAAACTTCAGAATTGTGCACCAAAACAAACCACTTTCTTTATAAAGGTAACTTGCCTCAAATATTTTGTTAGAGTGATGAAAAGTTGACTAATACAAAATTTGAGTTTATAAAGTGATTTCATAAATGTTTTATAAGTTAAACTTCCAATATAGATGCTAATCCAGGATGTAGGAAAGGGTCTTTTATTATGGAATTTTGCCAGTAGAAATAGACATACCAGGATCTTGTTCCACATCACCTGCCATGACCCACACAATATTACAGGCCTACAAGTCAACGTCAAAAGGAATAAAGCCCATTTCTCCAATGTAGCCAGGATAGAAACTGTGGATCACTTTTCCGCACCGAGACAATCCTGAATCTTAGTACAGTTCAAGTGTTTGAAAGGACAGGAGTTTACATATAATGGGTATTTTGGGGACCACATTTGAGAGCAAAGGCCTGAACAATTAATTAAGAATCAGTTATTCTTTCTCCTTGTCTAATTAGTGTGAGTAGATCAGAGTGCTCGCGAAGAATTAGGAAAAGATAGAAGTCATGAATGACTTTTCTTACCTTTAACCATATAGAAATAATATGTACACTTCATATTTACATCTATTATTTTAAGGAATCTAAGACTTAATACATTGGCTGTACCTGTGTACAGTTTTGCGGAATATAGCAGGTTTGGATTTAGAAGCACATGATCATTTTTCTTAGATTATCACCATTTGTTAAAAAAATCTTTAAGGAAATTTTCATTTGAAAAGTACTAAATTCAGGCAACAGTAAATAATGAATCTATGGTTGAAGGCTTCTATTGTGGTAATGGAGTTAGCAAAAATAAGTTATTAGAATTGAGCGGGAGAAAACATTAAAATATAGTTTGGTATAATAATAAGAAAATAAAATAGGTAAAAATCTATTAATCAGAGCCTAAAGCAAGTTTTACTTCTGTCTTATTCTTATTTTTTGTTATTGTTTTGTCTTCTTCTTTTTAAGAGACTTTTCCTTGTAGAAAACGTGTTGCACTATTCTTTGAATTCAAAACTCATCGCTAAAGTTGGATGACAACACATTTGCAGTTGCTGGCACCCCAATCCCCTGCTGTCAGGATTGTAAACGATGCCACTTTTCAACAAAGCAGCGATCCAGTGAGGGGATTAGAGGCATGAATTTTAACTGACAAAATATGAATTTGAAGTAAACATGGCTCTTTTGCAGAGACTGCATTCTGAGAATACTGGTGCCAGCAAGATTAGAGATGCAGCCACTTCTTTATTTGCCATTGGAAGTGGAAATCACCAAATACATCATCAGTTGGGCTCAAAGACCGAAGGGAATAGAAAAATGTTGAGTGAGTTTGTTCCCTCTACTGGTGTCTACCATATCACAGCTTGCTCTACACTGCTGTATAACTGAATAATTGTTGAAGGGCTGGGACGAAAGGACTATTGCTATGACTAATTAATAAACGGGCTTTACATCATCTAAATTAGATCTAATGTGGCATTCCGTTACTCACTACACCATGGTCTAAAGTTACCATTTGATCGTAAACAGCAATCTCTCCCCCTCTTGTATTTTATATCTGGTAGTTATGAGATATTTCTTTAAGATTCTAGTGAAATTACACACACACATGCACACGCACACAAATCACTTAGCATTGTGTGTGCTGGCGGGGGTGGGGGGGTAAGATTTTATTTGACTCCTCTGTGTATTTTGTATTCCAACGAGGGGAGTCTGTTGCCGCCAGAGGCTGCATCAGTCTCCTCACTCTAGTTGCCGCACAAGCCAAGATGACAAGTGAGGGAGAAGACATGGGCTTTTTATCAACATGAGGAATGTGCTATTTGGTCCTTCCTGTAGCTTGGAAATGATCAAGAAGAAGCTAGTGTGCAAGTGTGCATCAGCATGCACGCGCTGCTCAGGGTTTCAGCTTTATTTCTCTCCTTTTTGTTTTCGATGAAGGAGTTGTATTTCTGTAAGTATACATTGCATATGTTTTCCTTCATTCATGCCTTAAGTGGTGTTTATTAAGGTCTCTGCTGTCAATGCTGTGATGTTATGGAATTACTTGAGTATAAATAACATATGACATTAGACACTTAATAATTTAATGATGAGATTAATATTTACAATGTATGATTTATAATATATCTTTATTATTACAGTAAATCTTTTGTCTTCCAACTACATAAAAAGTACTGTACACTTCTATATGGTTTTCTGCTTGAAATGAAAATTAGAACAAATACTAAATTGATAGCCACCAGTACCTCTTAGGACTACCTGCTTATTATGTGTGTCATTGTAAATCCTATTAAATTAAGGTTTGAGTTCAAATATCCCTTCAATGTCATGTTTCGCTCCTTCCAGGACAGAATTTTATTTGCCCATTACATTATCTTATCTTTCTTAGAGTCCCCACATCAGAGCTATCTCCTGAGCATCCCCCAATTGGGCCTCCAACTCCAAGTAAGTCTCCCAGGCCTCCATCTGTGGAGAGCTGTCCTTCCTCTTGTGTGGTGTCAAGTTCCCCAGCCACTGAGCCTGAGGCTCTGTTGGAGGATGTGTTGAGACCTTTGGACCAGGCACTGAAGGACTGTTGTGGCCACACAAGGCAGCAGCTATGTGATGACATCAGCCGACATCTGGCACTGCGGCGGGAACAGTGGGCTGGAGGGAAGCTCTCAGTGCCTGTAAACAAGAGGATGGTTCTGCTGGCGCAAGAGCTTTCAAGCCTCCAGTGGGATGCAGCAGATGACATCCGCCGCTCACTTGTGGTTGACCATGTGACTGAAGTCAGTCAGTGGATGGTGGGAGTTAAAAGATTAATTGCAGAAAAAAAAAAAAGCCTACCTTCAGAGGAGGCAGCCAATGAAGAAAAATCGGCAGCTGCAGCTGAGAATGAGACCATGTCAGGCCTTCAACAAGCTCCATAATCCTGTTGGTTCCCTGAACTCACTTCACATCATCACCTATGCCTTGGTGTGGGAGGACTTCTCTCACTTGGCTCCTTCTTACCACCAGGGAGACCATCCCATGGGCCTGACCCACTTGTATGGGAAAGGGGTTCCACCTGGTTACCTGAACGTATGTTTTAATAAAAACATCTCAGTGGTGGGCCTTGGGTAGGAAATGAGCTCTTCCTATGCGAACAAAAAAAGAGACTGATATAACAAAATATTGTTGACTACTTAGCTTACAAATAACACACATGTATTTCTTATAGTTCTGGAGGTTGTGAAATAAGATCAAGGTTCTGGAATATTCCACATCTATTAGGAGCCTGTTGTTTCTTGGTACTCAGGTGGTACCTTATCTCTGCGCCCTCACTTGGTGAATGGAGTACAGGCAGCTCTCTGGGGTCTTTTCTAAGAATATGGATCCCATTCACAAGAGCTCTGCATGCACACCCTAATTACCTCCCAAAAACTCCTACCTTCTAATGCAGTCATAATGATGATTAGATTGTTTTTGAGGGAGACACAGATCTTTTAGCTGATGCTTCACTCCTCGAATTTCCCTAACAGTCAAGGCTAGGTTGTGCTAGAGCCCAGAACCCATAATTCTGGGTCTTTTATGTGGGTATCAGGGTCCCTAGCACTTGGACCATAATCCCCTGCCTCTCAGGATGCACTAGGAGGAAGGTAGAGCCAAAGTGGAGTATCTGGGACTTGAACAGGCGCTCCTACATAGGGTGCAGGCATCCCAGATGGCAGTTTAATCTATTGCAGCACAACACCATTCCCTATGTTCTCATTTTTATTTCAGTCATTGTTATAATAATGGAAATGTGTTTCCATTTTCATTTCAAAAATACAAAGATTCAACTATACATGTGCTTATATATACTCCTAAAAGAAAGAAAACTTCTTTCATATATTCTAACATCTCTGCCAACATACTAAAATTTATTACTAGTATTATTGTCCATACTATGCCACTTCTATTTCAATTCTTTGAGAGCATTACAAATCCCATAATACAGATGTCAAATTAGTAAGATACATTTTAGGGGCCAATGTTGTAGTATAAAGGGTTGGGCCACAGCTTTCAATGCTGGCATCCCATATCGACTGCTTGTTCTAGTCCTGGCTGCATTGTTTCTGATCCATCTCCATGCTGATGTGCCAGGGAAGGCAGTGGATGATGGCCCAAGTGCTTGGGCCCCTGCCATGCATGTAGGACACCAAGATGGAGTTCCTTTCTCCTGGCTTCAGCCTGGCTCAGCCCTAGTTTTGTAACCAACTGGGGAGTGAACCAGGGATGGGAGATTCTCTCTCTCTCTCTCTCTCTCTCTCTCCATCTCTTTGTCTCTTTCTGTTGCTCAGGCTGTCAAATAAATAAACAGATAAATCTTTAAGAAACATACATTGTTGATATTTAAAACATTTACTCACTCTCTAATAATCATTATACGGATATAGAATAGAGATGTAATTGGGCCAGCGTTCTGGTGAAGCAGGTTAAGCACCTTGTGCCAGGAGCTTCCTCCGGGTCTTCTCGTGTGGGTGCAGGGTCCCAAAGACTTGGACCATTGTCTGTTGCTTTCCCAGACCATAGCAGAGAGCTGAATCAGAAGTGGAGCAGCCGGGACTTGAACCGGTGCCCATATGGGATGCCAGCACTGCTGGCGTCAGCTTTACCTGCTGTGCCACAGCACCAGCCCCATGGCTGGCTCAGTTTTATTCTTGATCAGTTTTCTCTAGTTTGGAACATTTCCTTAAGTAATCTTTTGAAGAGAAAATGGATAGACAACATAAATTTTGAGTCTTTTGAGGTTTTAAAGATATTTTCATCTTGAATTCTTTGATCGTAAAAGATAGTTTGGTAGGTTTAAGCACATTTATAATTTGGTCCTCCACCCAAGAGAACGGACAGTTAAGAAACCAATATTGGAGAAATGAAATGTCATACTTACTTCTTAGCAATTTTGTTACTGTTATAAGCTTATGAATATGTTCCTTCTTTCTTAAATCATAAATTTCAGAATTATTTACAAAAATTATCTACACTTGCCTGGTTCAGATAAAGTCCATTTTGGCCTAAGTGAGTTTCTTTGTCAATGGGGTGCCCTAAACTCCTTCCTGGTATATGAAAAGGGATTGGAGTAGTGAGCTGAAGAATGAGAGGCAGAGAGAAATGACAAGTAAGTCCCCCAGAGCATGTGAGCAAGACCTAATCAAGTTCCTGTCACAGTCTTCAAGCTCTCATCTGCCTGGCTTAGTTAAGAATCTGATGATTCTGGCCTGGAGGTGGCGCCCTTTTTCAATTTTCAAAAATAGAGCTCACTTCTAATAGGAAAAGAATGATTTCATAAAATATTTAGCCTCCAAATACGTTTCACTTCAGATGTCATGTGTTTTCCATTTCTCCTAAATTCAAAATTAAATAATTATTTTAATTCTAAACAAAGTGAAGATTTTTAGTTAAAAATTAGGTAAGTTTTGTTTTGGCCTACTTTGTATTATTCTGAATCAAGTAAATGTACTCAAGTTACTATGCTGGGTAAAACATGATGTAAGGATACCATGGACATATCATCAGGCCAAGTTTAATTAGGACAATCAGGAACAGAGGTATTTTAAAAAAATAAAATTATTTAATACGAGAAATTGTTTACATAGGTAGCAAAGAGCCCCTAAAACATAAGGAGGCTACTGAGGTTACCCAGTGATTAATAACTAAGCCAGAGGGAAGAATGTACCACTAGAACCTAAGAGCTTAGAGAATCAATGTTGTAGAGTTGGACCTATGTCGAAAGGCTCTATGGAAAGGATTTCATGAGTCTGATACTCAAATCTAGAAGAAGGGGTTAGCCACAGCTGTAATTCCAACTTCAAGATCAAGCAGACCTCAATCTGGAAGATGGAGCTGGAGTTGATGGTTTTTAACAATCACTGTAGTGCTGTAGTTGGAATTGTATATGGACCCATATTCATACAGATGTTTAAAATTTAAGCCTCAAAGTCTTCTGTCCATGACAGTAAAAAGGGGGAAAATGAGTCCAACGATGGTGGTTGGGAGGTGAGCCGAAAGGGAGGTAGTTCTCGTTGGAAGGTTGTTATGAAAGTTGAGTTGGGCCTGACCACCCTCTTTGCTCCCCGACTCTACACGGTCGTTCCTCTGCACTTCCTCTGCCATTGTTGTCCCAAGGTCTCACCCGATGGATGAACCAGTGGGAATTGCCCAATCTTGGACTGTGTCCCTCCAAAATCAGATGAATACCTTCATTAGGAGCTTGTTTTAGGCCTCTCATAGTAGTGACAGGAAGTCAGCTAATACACATCAGAAACTAATGCTGGGAGGAAGACTTTTAATTCCTCTAGACATCTAAATTCCTTGGCTGGCTTCCATTGAGAGGCACTCCAGCAAACTAGCTGACAAGGACAACTAGGAAATATAATTTCCAGAATTCTAGACCCAGAAACTCGGTACAAAGTGTAGAAGGGCAGATTCAGAGAGAAAAATCTCATAATGGACACCAAAATTTGGTTAAATTCACAAGAAGAAAGTGAATAAATTTGAGAGTTCCCTAAGGGCAAAATTGAAGGACAGGATTTTATTTTATTTTATTTTTTGACAGGCAGAGTTAGACAGTGAGAGAGAGAGACAGAGAGAAAGGTCTTCCTTCTATTGGTTCACCCCCGAAATGGTCGCTGTGGCCGGCGGCTGCGCCGAAGCCAGGAGCCAGGTGCTCCCTCCTGGTCTCCCATGCGGGTACAGGGCCCAAGCACTTGGGCCATCCTCCACTGCACTCCTGGGCCACAGCAGAGAGCTGGACTGGAAGAGGAGCAACCGGGACAGAATCCAGCGCCCCAACCGGGACTAGAACCTGGTGTGCTGGCGCCGCAAGGTGGAGGATTAGCCTAGTGAGCCGCGGCGCCAGCGAAGGACAGGATATTTGAAAATTCCAAGATCATAGTGCAATACCAGAACAAAAGTCTACCTATATACACCTCCCAAATTCATTGTACCTACACAGCAGCCAATGATCTCATTTTGTTAGTGCTATTTAACAGTTAATATGGACCAGTCTTACTAAGACTGTAGACTCCTAAGAAGGGGTTTAAGTCAACTTAACATAAAAATAAAACAGTGAGGCTAGATTAAATGGCAAGAAATAAATTGATTGGCTGGTGCCGCAGCTCACTAGGCTAATCCTCCTTCTGCGGGTCAGCACACCGGGTTCTAGTCCTGGTTGGGGTGCCGGATTCTGTCCCAGTTGCTCCTCTTCCAGTCTAGCTCTCTGCTGTGGCCCAGGAGTGCAGTGGAGGATGGCCCAAGTGCTTGGGCCCTGTACCCGCATGGGAGACCAGGAGGGAGCACCTGGCTCCTGGCTTCGGCGGAAGTGTAGTGACCAGTGTAGTGACTGGTTGAAAAATCACTATCATAAAGCCCCAAGTCCAAAACATTATATTTTGGATTTCCAGGCAAATGTGCATTCAAGAATAGAACTCTCTGGAGCAGCATTGTGGTAATGTGGGTTAAGCTGCAGCCCTCAATCCCAGCATTACATATGAGCAGCAGTTTGAGTCCAGACTATTCCAATTGCACTCCAGATCCCTGCTAATGTGCCTGGGGTATCAGCAGAAGATGGCCCAAGTGCTTTCACCCCTGGTTCCTGGTGGAAGACTTAGTTGGAGTTCCAGGCTTCTGACTTGGGTTGGTTTAGTCTTGGCCATTAAGACCTTTTGGAATGCAAATCATTGGATAGAAGATCAATCTCTCACTGTTTCTGTCTCTCTGTCTTCTGTGTCTCTGCCTCTCCCACTGTAACTATACTTTTTCAAATAATCAAATGAATTTCCAAAATAAAGCAAAATAAAATCTATTTTAGGGGCCGGTGCTGTGACGCAGCAGGTTAACGCCCTGGCCTAAAGTGCTGGCATCCTATATGGGTGCAGGTTCTAGTCCTGGCTGCTCCTCTTCCAATCCAGGTCTCTGTTATGGCCTGGGAAAGCAGTGGAAGATTGCCCAAGTCCTTGAGCCCCTGCACCCATGTGGGAGACCTGGAGGAGGCTCCTGGCTCCTGGCTTTGGATCGGCACAGCTCCGGCCATTGCAGCCATCTGCGGAGTGAAC